CCTGTCCAGTAACGACGCCTATCCATAATCGCCCATCCAGTCACCATTCCGAGAACGCTCCCCGCGGGGTTTCTCGGAACGGGGACTGTCGAGGTTTTGTGGATTCTCGACTTCGAGATTCGGAAGCAGGAACATGAAAAGGCCCCGAAACGATAAAAATACGAATCGAGAATCTGGCTGCACGATGCTTTCAAGAGGGGACATAGGTGGCAGCACCTATCCATGAGTCCTCTTGAAGTGGATACATTGTTTATTTGAATGCATACAAGCTTCGCCTACTTAGTAAACAATCTTGATGATTTGTTTCTGTATATACTTCGAAGAAGCAGTATATAGTTTTGCTTTCCAAATTTATGAACAGAACGGATGAAACAACGTAGCCGACTAAATTTTCTGATGATAAAAGTGCTATCGCTTGCTCTTATTTGACATTTTGTAAGATTAGTGCTTTCTAAATACTGGGTTTCAAATCCTTGGTTTTGCTTTCCACATTACGGCGGTTAGTGCTTCTCAACAAAATCTGTTGCCCACTCCTTTTGAAACACATCGAAAAAAACACAGAAACGAGTACGAGGTTTCAGCAGTTGACAAAAGCGATGTTGCTGCTAACCTAATAAAATAAAGCAAATTCAGAGCTGTCTCCGAAAACCAGAAGTCTTCTTATACATTCACACTACGTGGAAGTATCGATGTTAGTGCTAGTAAGATGTTGACGCATTATCTGGAAAAGAACGAGAAACTGAGCGTATGGGACATCTGCGACATTGAAAAAGGTAAGAGTATTCCGCTGTTTTCAGAATTTTATAATCTTCTCTAAAGGACCCGAAGAATCTATCGATGGGTACAAGGAATTGCACAGTACCGAAGGTGCCGAGCAATGGGACAGCGCAAAAAACGCTGTGATTCGACAGCAGCAGGTAGGTAATATATGCAAAGTTTTGAAATGAATCTAAAATAATCTAAAGTCGATAAGCTACTGGAATATAATTCTTTCTTAACATTTTATTTTTTAATGTATCAGAATGCCTGATTGAAAAAAAAACTTTAGGGTTAATTTCTCTCTCGCAATTAAACAGTTGGAATAGCTAAAGCTTCTTTAAACGGCATTGATCATTTTCTTACAACATACTGCTTTACAGGTGATTGACGCTTTTCGACCGGGACCGTCAAGAACTCGACGAGCTCTCACAAAGCTTCAATCAAGCAAACTAAAGTACCGTGCTGCTCAAAGCTATGATTCTGGTATCTCAATCAGTGAGCCCAATGTGGAATCCACTGTTTGTTGTATTATGTGACATGTTATTTGGTTCAATTGCTAGTGCAAATAAAGTTAGAATCTGTCCAAAAGGCGGATGGCAAATATGTACGTGACATACGAGCTTAGCACGTCACCTTTTAGGTTTCTAA